ATGACGGATGGGGGGGCGGCATGAGGCAGGCCGGGCTGGGTGGCCGCAGTGCTTGCGGCGATGATGGGGGTGGCGGGGGATGGTGGGCGGGGGCTCCGGTGGTGGCTCTGGCGGGGGGTCGCTGTGCTGGCGGGTGGACGGCGGTGCCCAGCAGGTGCTGGAAGTGGCGCGCCACGTCCTCTCGCTAGCCTGAAGCACTCCCAGGGTTCAGCGTTGGTCTGCCAACGATCTGGGCAATCTACTTCACTCGTCATCTGGTGTGCTGCTGGAGCAACACGTGGCGCACTGCTGTGGCGAGTAATCCATAATTTAAACCTGGGTCACACCTGGCCGCCGCCGGCGCCAGATGGCAACGCGCCAAGCTGGCGCCGAGGGGGGGTACCAACCGCATGATGCACAAAAGGACCGGCGGCGGCCTGGCGCGTCATTCCACACTTCCATTGCTCTGTATGGCTCCCCCGCCTTCAATATAGTCTGGTGACACACCGTCGACCTGCATCTGGTTCACTCTCTGCACTTCCGACACTTTGCAGCCATGCTGTCGCGGGCCATCGTTGCCTCTTGCCGCAAGTCCCTGGCCACTACCGCCTACCAGGGCACCCGGGCGCTGTCCAGCGCCTCCGCCATCTGCTCCTCGGCCGAGAGCTCTCCCTCCCAGCCCAAGCGTCGTGGTGGCGAGAGCGACATGTATGCCATGAAGCCGCTCGGCAAGCGCATGATGAGTCCCGAGGCCAAGGCACTGCGCGACGCGTGAGTGGCGGCGGGGCGGGGTCAGCGGCTCGTGGTGGCACCGTGCAGTGATTGCCAGCAAAATCCCGTGGCATCCTGCCACTTCTCCTGAACTGGAGAGCGTTTATGTACCCTGCTCTTTCAGCATCCAACTGACGCTTCATTCTACCCTCCTGCTGCAGGCTGCGTCTGAATGATTTCGGCCGGCCCCGCCACAGCGCTTCCACCATGGGCGAGCGGCACATGCACGCCGCCCAGGCTGGCCGTCCATAAATTATCCACCTGCCCATCAGCACTCCCTTTGATCCCTCTTGCACAAACCTCCATGCGCTGACCGTATTCGTCAGCGCCCAGCACTTGCCAGCCGTGAGTTACTTGGGTCCTGCCATGCCAGCCGTGAGTTACTTGGGGCCTGCCACTTTTGGCTGGCCCAGACATCCGTCCTGCCAAAATTCCTGAGAGCATATTCATCATCCTTTGCCTTGCGAGCGTGTGAGCCTTCCCTTGTTTCCTCGGTATCTGTTGCTGCGTTTGGCTGAGCCGGGCGCAACTGTTCTTTCCTGCTGTTTTCAAGCATTTGACGTTCATCCATGTAAAGTTTCTCCTACACTAGCTGGAGGAGCCAGGCAAGCGCACTCTGCTGGGCCTGGGCGGAGTGGCGGTGCGCAGATGACTTGCGGCGGCGCTGCCCGGGTGGCGCCACCGGGCTGACCTGGAGCGAAAACGCGTGAGCTCCTGCAGCCGGCCCATCTGATCGCCCTCTGCAAACACCTGTGTCGTCACCTCGCTGCGCATTGTTGAGTTTGGGTTGGTGGGCCACCCAAGAGTCAGAATGGGCTGCTGCTGCGGAGAGGAGGACGACGAGCCATTCGTGCAGTATGACTCGCGCTCTAGAACCCAGGCAGGAGACCGCGCCGCCCCGCCTCTGCCCCGCCGCCACCGGCCGCCCGTGGAAACCGACTTTGCTGCCCACACTTCCCCTCCATTCCCCAGGTGGAGGAGCTGCGCAACCAGCTGTCCTCTATCATGCCGCCACTGGATGTGGGCTGGCAGGCAGACGCCACCGTCAACGTTGCGCTGACCAGCCAGCCCTCACTGGGCGTCTTTGAGCGGCGGCACAGCATGAGCCTGGGCGCCGCCACGATGCCGCGCCGCGAGCAGCAGCAGCCGGGTGCGCACGCCATCATGCCACTGATGATTTGTCTGCCGCCGGCAGCTGCTGCGTGGCAGCGCTGCCCAACACCCACCGAGGGTGCCTACTGCTCGGCCATTACAAGGGTTGCTGAGGCACACATCCTTTTCCTCGCCGCTGATGTCCTCCCAACGCAGGGAATGGACAGCCACACCAGCTGAAGTGGACCGACAGCCGTAAGCTGCTGGAGGCGGCGATAGGGATGGAGCAGATGCAGGTGGGGTGGGGCGATGCAAGGCGCTGCCAACGTTTGGATTGGCGGCCGCTGCTGCTCTCCGCCGGCTTCCGCTGGCCCTGCCAGGCCCCAACCCCACCCGGCTGCCTGCGCCTGCCTGCCCGCCTGCGCCGCGCAGCCGATCCCTGAGAACACGCCGCCTGCCTCTAACGGCTGGGGCTGGGGGCAGGGGCAGGGACCCGGCTTGGAGGCGGAGGAGGCTCGCCTGCAGGAGCGGCTGTTCAAGCTGAAGCTGGAGCATTACGTGATGGAAGGGGATGGCAGCTGCCAGTTCCGGGCCGTCTCCTTTGGGCTGTATGGTGGGCGCGGGCGGTGCTTGTGCAACTGCTGCATGCCTATGGCGCTGCCTGCCCGGTCTGGCCCGCCCCGGTGTTGCTCGCATGCAACAGCCAGGCGCCGTGCCCCCAGCATGCTGCCGCCGCCGCATCTGGGGCCGCCCACGCTCTCCCTCTCCACCCCTGTGCCGAGCGCAGGCACGCAGCGGCACCACACGTACGTGCGGCGCAAGGCGGTACAGTACATGCAGCAGCGGCGGCAGGACTTTGAGGCGTTCCTGGGGGAGGACTTTGGGGGGTACATGAGGTGAGCGCTGTGTACTGCATGTGTGCTGCATGTGTACTGCCTGCGTGCTGCCCGTGCACTGCCTGGGGTTTTGGCCACGGGGTGCATCGGGTGGGGAGCCTGGCGGCTGGTCCTCACACCGGCAGCAAGCGGCGGCACAGCGTGTGCCTCCACCTCGTGCGGCATCTGCCAGCGGGGATGCGCCTGCTGCCTCGCTCATCGGCCTGCTGCTCGTGGATGGGCTGGCGGCCCGTCGGCAGCGGGCCCACCAGACACCGCTGCCCGGCGGCGCTGCTCCCCGATACCCCTCTGCTGCCGCGACCGTCCCCCGGTTCCGCAGGCAGATGGGCCGGCTGGGGACGTGGGGCGACGAGCTGACACTGCGGGGCATCTGCGAGGCGCTGGCGGTAGTGGTGAACGTCATCTCGTCAGGTGCCGTAGCGCTTGACGGGAGGTGCCTCCCGGCTGCCTGCTGGCGGCTCCTGCCTGGCTGGTGGGCCGTGAGTCTTGCCGGGCTGTGGCTCTTGGGGCCGCCCTGTGGTGGGTCCAGCAAAGCTCCCAACAGGCTGGTGTCTCCCCTCGCCGCGCTATTTCCTCCTCGGCTGCATGCCTGGAGCGCCCGCACCCAGCCAGCGCTGCTGCCGCCGCCCTTGCAGACCGCGAGAACTGGTTCCTGCGGTACATCCCGCGCACCACGCGGCCCCAGCACGAGATATTCGTGACCTACATCGCGCCGCTGCACTACAATGCCGTCAGGTGGGGGCCCGGCATGGCGCGGCGTGCCGTGGCAAGCAGGCCATCCAAGTTGGATCCCAATCCTCCCGTCTCTCGTGCCGTTGCCTGCGCCGCAGGCGGCAGAACACCGGCGCGCGCCTGCGGCAGAGCTTTGGGCGGCAGGGGTCGCAGCTGGCGCGGGCGGTCAGCAGCTACCAGCGGCGGTACGGCATCCCCGAGACGCCGCAGCACATGATGCACGCCTTGTGAGCGGCGGCTGAGGACTGGCGCGGCCTGCCAATGCCCGACCGCACAGACACTTTCACCCGCGCCCCATTGGGCTGGCTTGTTGCACTTGGCACTTCCACATCCTGCCTGGCATGAGCCGCCGAGAGTGCTGTAAAGTGGTGTGCCGACTTTCCCTGGCAACCAAGAAGCGGCTTCACGCTTCACACTCAGCAAGGGAACTCCAATCTAGAACTCCAATCTACTCAAAAAAATGGGGCGCGCCGCACCACACGCAGGGGCCGGCGCTCCTTGTCCGGAAGGGAGGATGCTGCCGGCTGCCCTCGCCAGCGGCTGCCAGCTGCCTGCCCCCTTCATGAGGGCGCCCCGAGGTACCTCGACAGCGTTATCAAGTCGCTGAACACGCCCGCCGCCGTCACCGCGGGGCCCGCGCCCGGTCCCCGCACTATCAACGGCGGGTTGCTGCAGGCCGGCGGGCGGCGGCGGGCAGGGGATGAGTCGGCACAACTGCCAGGGGGCATCGCGCCGAGCGGCGCCCAGCGCCGGCTATGCAAGCGGGCGTCATTTGCTGACATGCCCTGCACGCATGCCACGGTACTGCAGGCGGTACAGAGGCGGCGCCACACCTGTACCGCATCGTGGTGAAGGAAATGATGTTCTCTGTGCCGGCCAGGTTGGCAAATGGATGCGACTTGGGGAACCGCCGCAGCAGCACCTGCGGCGGCGGAGCAGGCCAAAGAGGCCGGTAGAGGGTCGAGGAGGGGCCTGGGGAGGCCAGGAACCATTCAGGCGCTGCACGCCAGCTCCAGCTGCTGCGTAGCACACTCTGCGGTACGAGGCGCATGAGCTGCCGCCGCCAGGCCAGCAAACAAGCACCGCCGGCCGGACGCAGGCGCCTTCCACAGCTAGCCGCCGGCAGGCACCCCTGCAGCTGGCCGCTTCAAGGCAGCCCGTGTATGAGGGGGCCTATGTCCGCCTCGCACCTGGCACACGCCGCTCTCTGCGTCGTACGAGCCCACATAACGCAGCACCTCGCCGTGCCTGTCTGCCTGCTGCACCCGCTCAGCCATTATGTCGTCGTACTGCAGGCGGTACGCAAGGGCAAGGCAGGCAGCACGTTGGTACCATCGTGGTGCAGCGTGTCGAGCGCAGGGGCACCTCGTGCAGAGCAAAGACGAGACCATCCAGTGCACAGTCACAGCGCAGCACAGCACAGCACGGAGCGCACAGCACAGCTGAAACTCCCAGCACAGCCCAGCACAGCCCAGCGCAGCGCAGCGCAGCAGCCAAAGCGCACCTCGTGCAGAGAGTCCATGAACTCCTGCGGCGACTGCGCCTTGCGCAGCGGCTCCGGCACCAGGCTCTCTGCGGGGCGGTGGGCGGCGGCGGCGAGCGCGCAGGGCAAGGCGGCGTGAGATGCGCGCCCGCGGCAGCGCGCGGCGCGGCAGGCAGCGGCGCGGGTGGCGGGCAGGGGGCGGGCAGCGGGGGGCGGCGCTGTGCATCTGGACACACAATCGGCTGCCGCAGACAGCACCTGCTGGTTGGAGCGCTGAAACGGAACCACACAGCACCTGTCCATGCTGCAATGCAGAGCACGAACAGGGAGCCCACCTGTGTCTACTGAGGACAGCTCGATCTTGTTGCCGCACTCACGAGCCAGGTTGATCACCTTGCGCGTCACATCCATGCCTGCGTGGCGGCGGCGACAGGCAGGCAGGCAGGGGGGCAGTCACGCCCATGCCTGGGAGGGCGAGGAGCGGGCAAGCACACCCACAGAGGGGGTGCCTCCGGTTCCTGGCACGCAGGCAAGCAGGAGGACGCCGCTCATGCCGGCGCCGCTGCCGCGGGCCCGAGCCGCGGCTGCCGCCGGCAAGCGGGCCAGCCGTCCAGCGGGTGTGCAAGCCACGGGCCCGGGGAGAGAGCTGCGCCTGGGTGGAGCGCCACGCCTCTGCACCAACACCTCAGCCACTCCTGCCACCGGGCCCGACCGACCGACCGCACGCCCCGCCAGCGCCCGCGCCCTCCCAGCAGCCGCCCACCCGACAGGTCGTCCCGGGGGTCGGGCTCGGTGTAGCCGCGCCGCCGCGCGCCCGACACCACCTCGCTAAACGCCTTGCCGGGCGCGAGCTCGTTGAAGATGTAGGACAGGGTGCCGCTGCGGGGTGCGGCAGGGAGGGGACGGGCGCATGTTGCAATACTATTGTTGCAATGTTATTGTTGCAATGGCTGCAATGGTTGTTTCAGACAGCGTGCCGCAGCGGGGCGCAGGGAGAGGAAGGGTTACGGCGTGGCAGCGAAGCTGTCTGGGTGGGGTGGCACAGGCGGAGCAGCAGCGAGGGGAGCAGCGGGCGCAGCGCCCCGCTTGGCACCGGCTCCACCAGCAGCCGCACAGCCCTGGCCCCAGCGGCGCTCTGGCGGCGGTTATCCCACCTGAAGACGCCCTCGATGCGCTGCACCTCATCCCCCGTGTCCAGCAGCTGCTTGAGGGTGCTCATCACCGGCAGCCCCGCCCCCACGGTGCCCTCATACCTGCAGCCAGGCAGGCAGGCAGGCAGGCAAGCAGGCAGGCAGGCAGGAGGGCACCCCATCGGTCGGCTCGCATGCTCCGGGGTGCTGCCAAGCCTGCTCCAGCGCCACCCCGCTTCGCCTGCCCAGCCCACACAGCCACATGCAGCCTCCCAGGTGGCCCGCTCGGGTGCGCACATGTAGTGGGCGCTCCCCGCCTTCTGCAGCTGCTTCACCGCCAGGTACTCGGCCAGCGGACCGCTGTTCAGCTTCTTGTTGGGGGTAACAATGTGGATGCCCTGCGGCGGCAGCGCGATACAAGCTTTGTGCGCACACATGCGGAGGGGCGGCGGCAGCGGCGCGGGCACTGATGGCAGTGCTTCTTGCAGTGATGTCAACAGGTGCAGCTCACCCTGCCGGGACGTAACCAGGCAAAGCACACCACCCACGGCGGTAACAGTGAGGACCCCACCTGCTCCATCCAGCGGCGGTAGAACTGCGGTACATATGCTGAGGCGGTACAGTCGATGATAACCTTGTGCGGCAGCGGCAAGGCACGCAGGTGCTGCGTCAGCACCCCCAGGCTCGCGTCGGCGGCTGCAGGCGGCGCGGGCAGCAGTGGCGGGTCAACACTCTGCTGCGACCGCCGCAGCTGCAGCTTGGCAGGCAGGCAGGCGCTGCTTGCGGTCCCGACGGTCAGCCCACCAGCCAAGTCATTCAGCAAGCAGGCATCGAGCCGCAGGTGCAGCCGCGGCATCGACGGCCGCAGAACTGGGCCGCCTGAGTGGCGGCGGCAGCGGCGGCGCTCACACGACTCCAGGAGCTGTTCCCCATAGGTTTCAAGGTTGATGGGTTGCCCCTCCTTGCCCAGGATGACCTGGCTGCTGTTCAGGATGCCCTGCACCTGCAGGTCGATCCGGTACTTGTTGAAGAGGTTGGGGGTCTGCAGGGCCAAGCAGGAGTGAGGGGCAGTTGGAGGCAAGCTCAACCGAAAGCGGGGCTACCGTGCGGTCGAGAAGCTGGGTTCTAACGCTTGGTCAAGAGCAAGGAGGCACCAGCATGACCAGAGCGCCCATGTGCATGCTTGCCACATGGTGGTGCAGGGCAAGGTAACCAGCAGTGGGCAGCATGGCGCAGCATTTGGGCGGCACCAAGGGCGGCGGCGGCAGGCGGCGGCGGCGGCGGCAAAGCCAGGCAGCAAGGCAGCAATCGGGGTGCTTCCCTGCACACACCCGATCGCTCCCGCTTACCTCTACTCGCAGCTGCTCCAGGAGGGCGCGGCCCACGGCGCCAGGGCCGACCAGCCCGATGGCAATGGACACGTTTTCCGTCATCGCTCGCTTCAAGACTCCCGCCATTCAGCCCCTGAGGGCGATGCTGGGACCCGCTGGCCTCCCGCAACGTGTCGGCGGCCGGTGAGAGCGCCCGACTCAACCCAACGCGCTATTGGTGGCTCTGGATCGGCCTGTGCGTGTCGGGGGTGCCTGATGCTCATGCATATGCGTTAGCAATCATGGGACAGCTGCCAGCAAGGCGTGCTGTCTCACCCGCCCTTCCATTTGTATGGCAGGCCCAGACTCCACTGAAGTGCTTGCTCTGCTTGCTCTCTTGCTCCAATGTCGCCAGCAGGCCATCCTGGGGCAGTAGACTGGGGCTCCCTGCCTGCCGACCTCCTGCAGCACGCCCTTCGCTTGTGGGTGGGCGGGCTGTGTCAGGGAGAGCTCCTGACGGTGCACGATGCAGCAAGAGTGGTGTTGGCTCCAAGGGGCGTGAACCGGCACTGGCGGCAAGCCTGCGCCGCCAGCCAGGTGTGGGATAGGCGGTACCCCCTGCGACTTGTGCCATCCAGCCCTCTGGTGCACTTGCCCATGGCACTGTGCTTGTACCAGCGGCGCGCCTCCGCTTCCGCCGCCAGCCCTTCTCGCAGCAAGGCCTGATGCACCACCCCGCTGCCGACCGCCGTGCCCGCGCGCCCTGTGGCTGCCGCAGCTGCGCCTCGCGCTGAGGTGCAACGCTGCACGCCGCGGCGACCTGTGCTGCGCCGTCCCAATGGCGGTGCACTGGGGCGTGGAGGTGACGGAGCTGTGGTGCGAGACGCGGCAGGAGGCGCCGCCGACCACAGCAGACCTGGTGCAGCACGTGCTGAGCCAGGAGGCCTTCTGGGCGCAGGTGTGTGGTGGCTGCCCGCGGGAGCAAGCCCCCAATGCTCCCATGCACAGCACCGTCTGATGGAGACCGGCACGCCGGGGGTGTGTGCCGTTCTGCTAGCTGTAGCGTGCTTCATTGCGGGTGTGCAGCGCTGCTCTGAGGATGGGGTGTCGGGCGGCATTGGGGTTGCTGGCGCTGGCTCTGGTGCCCGCGGTCAGTGCTAGTGGGCCGCCGATCCGGGGGCTGGACCCCGCCCTGGGGCCTCGCTACGAGATACCTCACTGCTGCAGACGCTGCGCTCCCGCATGCGCGCTCCGCCCTGCAGGTCGCTCCCCGGCTGCAGCTGCTGGCCGGCGTGCCCGCGGGCGTCAAGGGCTGGCCCTGGGGCCTGCTGCAGGCCTGCCGCCACCGGCTCCGCGCCCTGCACCTGCACGCGGCGGGCACGGAGCTGCGGGTGGGCGGCGCAGGGTGGCGCCAGCTGGGCGCGCTGCGCCAGCTGGAGGCCACCACGGCGCCCTACGCCACGGTCGACGTGGAGGCGCTGCCGCCGGCGCTGCGCCAGCTCAGCGTCACCAGCTCCAACGTCTTTATAGACGTGCCGGTGCTGCTCAGCGTGCCGCGGGTGCGGCTGGCGGCACACGAGGTCTACCTCATCGCCAACACAATTGAGAACAACGAAACCACCGAGGCGGCGGTGCTGCCGCTGGCAGACCTGGTGCACGTGCTGGCTGCGGCGGGCATGCCGGCGGGACACGCCGTGGAGCTGTGCACGCAGGTGGGCTGGGCTGGCGGGCGGGTGCGTTGCACGCGAGGGTGACGCCCCGGCTTGCCTCTGACCCATGATTCGGCATGGGGCCTGGGTGCACCTGCCTGCCTTGGCCCACCCTGCTCCGTGTTGTTGGCTACTGGCTGCAGGCGATTTGGTACAAGCTGCAGAGCGGCGAGCCCGCCTGGCTGCACGCCCTGTATGCTTCCGACGAGCAGGCGCAGCAGCCTGCCACGAAAGCGCAGCAGCAGCAGGTGCAGCACGCGGCACCAGAAGGGCGCGCGCCAGGCATCCTGCCCATGCCGCCGCCCGCCGTGCTGGAGGTGTTTCAGCAGACCGAGCGCCCCCGCCCGCCGCCTCTCACGGCGGCGGCTGGCAACGTGCGGGCCAGCTGGCAGCGTGCATGGCCGGGGTGGCCGCTAGACCCTGGTTATGCAGAGTACAAAGATGACATCGAAACCACGCATGTTGCCATGAGCCTTACGCTGTGTGCGGCTGATGACGGCTGTTGACACATGTATTTGCATCATTTGTTTTTGTACATCACTGTATCCATGCTATAGCCTGTGTATCCACGCTATAGACTGTACTGCTCTCATGATTTGAAATTGCCAAAATTCAATGTGTACATTGTGTAACTCAGGCCGTGAAGCACGCCGCCAGCCCATGCAACTGGAAAGAAGCTGACCGGGGCGGCCGAGGTTCCACCTTGTAGTTTCCCCCCCCACACCAGTGCTTCCCTCCAACAAGTCACACACCATGCAGGCGGCTGTTGCACGTCCAAGGCTGGTGGTGAGTGGGCGGGCGCACCCAGCGCTGGGAACCCTCGGCAGGCAGGCAGGCTGCCAGCGCTGCAGCCCCAAGGGCAGGGTGCTGCACCCGCTGGTGGTGCGGGCCTACCGAGACGAGCAGGCAAGCGCCAGGGGCTGGGCACGAGGTGGTGGTCGGGCGGCCGTGGCAGTCCCGCCAGCAGCTTGAAGCCAGCCAAGCCAGGAAGAGCCAGCCTGCCCTGCGCGAGAGCTTGTGGGGCCATGTTGGTCAAGGCTGCCCACCCGAATGCCTTGCTGCTGCTGCTGACGCCTGACGTCCTGCTGCTGCTGGCGGCGGCGCGTGTGCAGGCTGCCGAGCGCGCCGCCCGCGCCGCCGCCGACCGGCGGCACAGGATGGTGGCGGACACGAGCGACGACGAGGCCTACCTGCCCAGTGGGCGGCAGCCCCGCGCCGCGGCCCGCTTGCGTCGGCTGCCAGGGGCGGCGCTTTGCCTTGCCCTGCGTACTGCCTCTGCTTGGAAGCTCGTGCCGCTGCTAGCCTGGTCTTAGGCTAGTCAATTCCCAGCTACGGTCATCCCGCTGTGGCGCCTGGCCCCTGCCCTACCTGCCTGCAGGCGATGCTGACTCGGACATCCCCATGAGCAAGCGCCTGGCAGCCCGAGACATGTACCGCGAGATGCGCCACCTGCCGCCAGAGTACCCGCCAGGTGCGGCACGAGCCCCCTCCCCCAACCCACCGCTCGCTGCCGTGCCACCTGACCCTCCGCCTGCCGCGTAAAATGTCGCCGCGCGAAGCTCGTTGGGGCACGTACCGCAGGCTGGGGGTGGGCAGAGCACGCGCCCGTGCCTGCGATGAGCCGGCGTGCCCGCCCGCCTCCCCCCTACCTACCAAACCCTGCTGCACACACACCAGCCACACGACCTTCACACCTCCTATCCACCCCCCCAACCCCACACACACGTACCCCTGCCCCTCTGATGTGGGGCAGAGCCCGAGGTCGACAGCCCCGACAAGCACCTGCGCGTGTCTGACCTGGCCAGCGACGAGGAGGAGATGCTGCCGGACGACCCTCTGGACATGGATGAGGAGCTGATCACGGGTGAGGTGGGCAGCCACCCATGCCAGATGGCGCGGTTGCTGGGCAGCTGCCGCGCCTGCTGAGGGTGCCGCCTTTGCTGCACGGCCAGCTGCCCTCAGCGCCTTGGGCACCAGGCAGCCGCCCCGGGCAGTAGCTGCCAGCGGCGACTGGCGACGGAACCACCCGCTGCCCTGCCACGCCCTGCAGACACCAAGCCATTCATTGCCGATGTGTACAATGAGACCGCGGGGGTGCTGCGCAAGGCCACCACTCAGGACATCGCCAGGCACAGCTCCCGGGGTGAGCTCGCACTCGGGGAGGCTCTCGACAGGGGCTCGGATGGCGCCAGGCACGCTGCGGGCATCGAGTTGGGGGTCAGCTGTGTACCTGACAGCGCCTGGCGGCAGCAGGGTAGACGCGCCTGCCATTGGCCGGCAGCGTGAGATCTGGGTGGTGCATGCATTGCATAGCATCTGCCTGATTGGACGCCTGCCTCTTGGGTGATGCCCGTTTGCCTTCCTCCTGTGCAGGGCCCGGCGCCAGCAACATGCCCCCCGACGCCGCCTCTCGCATGAGCGTGGGCGGGGAGCGGGAGCCAGGTGGGCGGGCTTGAGGAGGGCTGGCCGGCTGGGCAGGCAACACACCCAGAACCTCATCGGCAGCCAGAGCTGTGTTAGTGCATGCACTGAGGCAGCCCTGTGCTGCGTCCCTCAAAACCGATTTGATGTGCTGGAATGCTTTGCGACATGTGTGCTTAGGACTTACTCCATCCCACATTGTAAGCCGCTGTGGATGCAGCCCAGCAGAGAGAGTGCAGCCGCTGACAGGTGCTGCCCCTGCCTGTGGGCTCCTTCCTGCAGAGGGCAGGGAGCAGCACATGGCAGAGGCCGAGGAGGAGGTCACGGTAGGTGGTATCAGCTGCCCCACTGCATTCGGCTGCTGCCGCCAACTGGATGGAATGGGGACCGCCCGCTGCAGCCCGAGTGATCTGCCCCGCCCGCTGCACTGCAGGAGATGAAGCAGGAAGGCGGCGGCAGCGGCAGCACCAGCGGCGGGCAGCAGGGCTCGCATGCTGCGAGGGAGGTCAGCGCAGAGGAGGCCGCGGAGGCGGCGGAGGAGAGCATGAAGGAGGCCGGGGCCGGCAGTATGCAGCCGCAGGTGCAGGGGCAGGTGGAGGAGGGGCAGCACCAGGAGGAGGGGGAGGTGAGCGGGCACGGCAGCCCCGAGGAGCACGCCAGGCGCAGGGCCATCGAGCAGGTGCCTGCTGCTGCTTGCCTGTATGCCTGTGCTGCTCGCAGTGCCGGCTGCGGCGGCAGCCACCGTTGGCATGGTCGCATGCCCAGAGATCCTGCCCGTGCAGTGCCGTCGCCGCTCCATTAACGCAGCCACCCCCCTATCGCCGCCGCTGCAGATGGGGGGCCGCGACCGCCCCGCCGCCGGCCAGAGCCTGTTCCTGGATAAGAAGGAGGGCGCCTAGACGTAGGGGGGAGCAGCAGCGCAACGCCAGAACAACACCAGCTGCGACCAGCCTGCCACGCGGGAAGGGAGCTGCAGCGGCTGTTGCCACCCTTGCTGCGGCCGGCCGTGGTGTCAGCAGCCCCCAGAGATGACGCTTCTTTCTGTCTTTGCTCAACCAGATTCCCGCACAGATGTCTCACAGGAGTGTTGGAAAGAAGTAACAGTGATCAAACCCAGCAGCCACACATGACACGGGTGGCGCCACTAGCGCCGTCGAAACAAAAGAAAGAGCATCCAGGACAAAGGCGTGGGAGATGGTGGGGCAGAAGCTTCGGATGGCGGGAACAGAGCAACACAGCCAAACAGCGGGCCAGGCTTGCAACAGGGGTGAGTCAACTCAGGACAGGTGGATGGTCTGCCGGCAGCGGGGCTTTGCCCGGCACACGGGGCACTGCTTGCAGGCTGTTGCGCAGCCCGCGCACGGCGCAAAGTGGCCGCAGGGCAGCAGCGCGGTGGTGCGGGGCGCCGCCATGCACACCGTGCACGCCTGCAGCGCCTCGTGCTGCTCCTTGAGCTGCGTCAGCTGCTGCCGCGCCTGCTGCCAGCGCGCCGCCACCGCGTTTGTCAGCACCTCCACAACCGGAGCGCCGACCCTGGGCGTCAAGGCGCAGCTGGCTGCATACGTGGCGGGGAGGCGGCCGCTGGCATCAGCCACCAGCGGGTCTGCGCCCGCCTTCAGCAGCGCCGACACAGCCGCCCTCGCTGCGTCGGCGCTGGTGTTGAAGGCGGCGTGGTGCAGCGGCGTGAGCCCGGTTGCTGGCTGAGCGGCATCCACGTCTGCGCCTGCCGCCACCAGCGCCGCCACGGCTGCCTCTGCGGCTGCCGCGTTGGGAAGCATGGCAGCAAGGTGCAGAGGCACCTTGAGCCGCGGGTCGCTTGAGACTGCGCACGCACCAGCAGCGAGCAGGGCTGCCAGCACGGCTGTGTGCTGGTCTGCTGTCCAGCCTGCCGTGCGGGAAGGCTTGGTGAGGAATGCGTGCAGCGCCGGGCCATCGGGGAGCGCGCTGCTGCCGCTGCTGCCTTGCGGGGCCAACTGGTTTGGGACTGCACCCGCATCTAACAGCTCTTTGACCGCAGCCAGGCAGGCCCCTGGATCGCTGTTCTGGGTTGCCGCTATGAGGGCCTCGTCCAGAGCGGACTGCGGATCCGCCTGGCTGCTGCTCCCAGCTGCCCCCGCCTCCCCCAGCTCCGCCAGCGCGGCGTGCAGCGCCGCCAGGCACTTGTGCCTGCCGCCGCCAAGCCGGGCCGCCGCGATGAGGCTCTTTGTGGCTGCATCGCGGTTCGACTGGGGTGGCTGCGGCTGCTGCTGCTGCGCCTCCTCATGCTGCGGCGGTGCCTGCTCGGCCTGCGGCTGCTTCCTTGCTGCCTTGGCAACAGGCTGCGCGTCTGGAGCTGCAGCTGCTGCTCGCTTGCAGGTTTGGGAGCTAGTTGCTGCTGCACCTGAAGCCACTGCTGCTCTTGCTACGGCTGCTGGGGCAACAGCTGGTCCTGGTCCCGGTGCTGCTGCTGCGGCGGCTGAGCGGTCTCGGTTCATGAACATTCGGGCTACGACGGTGGGACGAGCTAGCCCTGCCTGGATGCCGGGCTCGGCCATCGACAGCTATACTATAGCTATAGCTGTCTAGTAGACACGTTCAAATAATTTATTTGAAGCTTGAAGCCCCTGTTGCGAGGGTGAGTGCGGCTGGGCAAAGAGCTATCAGCTGCGCGGTATTCAGCCGCACAAACCTTAAGTTAGTGAGTTCGACGGAACATAGAATGCCCTGTTCCGATGGCTTGCCCCCGCGCCGCCCACTGATGGTTCCAGCCAGGTTACCGAAACAACAACAAGAAGTTTTAAGAACTTCTTACGTGTGTCATTGAATGACACACGTGTGTCTAGGCGGCGATACCACCCTCCATTCAAACGATGGTGCTGAGGGGGCGCAAGCGAGGCGGCAAGAGCCGGCGATGGAGCTTGTCTGGGTTTGCAGGGGTTACAGCGCACAGCAGTAACCAGTGATGGCTGCCTGCTACACAGAAAGCCCTCCTTAAGGGCCGCCGGTCAGTCGCTCGAGCTCTCCGAGTCGGGGCTGCCGCCGCCGCCAACCTGGCGCGCCTCCACCGGATCCTCCACCACCTGCAGCTCAGGGCAGGCACAGGTGCATGGGGCGGGGTACAAGCATGCAGGCGCAGCTCATGCAAGCAGCAGCACCCTGGCTCTGCGCCTTGGCGCCCTCCACACGCAGCCTCCAGCGCGCCAGCCACAGCCACAACCACACAGATGAGCCGCCGATAGGTCCCCGCACCTGCAGGCCGCCGCCGGCGACGGGCGCGTCGCCTGCGATGGCGGCGTGGGCTGGCCAGCTCTCGGGGTGGCGCTCCCACTCGCGCTGGCGCTCGAGGTCGGCAGCAGAGGCGTGTGGGAGGTCAGCCAGCTCCTGCAGAACGGCGGCAGCAGCAGCACCAGAACCAGTAGCAGGAACATCATCACCATCGGCAGCAGAGCAGCAGCACGAGCAGGGCAACAGCATGGCGCATCACGTGACGAAGGGCCAGCATCAACACCATGGGAGCGGAGAGACGCTAAACCGTGATCTGGTGGCAGAGGAGGTGCAGAGGGGTGCCCCCGACTCACCATCTGCTCGAAAGCGGCCTCCGCCTGCCGCTCGGCGCGGTCGGACTCGCTCTCGGCGGGCACGCCGCGAGGCTCGGCGCTGCCGTGGGTGTCTGAGCAGGGTGCGGGACAGGCGCGGCGGGTGTGGGAGGGAGGAGGAGGGTCGGCTGGTGGGGGGAGGTGCAAGGATGTCAGCAAGCTGTGAAACCAGAGTGCAGTGGCAGGCAGCTGCCCACATCGACAGGACCCCGCGGGCCAGCACTGCTGCGTGTGACAAGCTGACCGCGCCGCCTGGCGGCTGATGGCGAAACAGAGGGTCAGCAGAGGGGCTCACTTGACTGCAGCGCAATGTTTCCCACCTCGCCGCCGGACTTGATGCTGTCCCTGGGAGAGCCTGCAGCAGCGCCGCGCCACATAGATACCATGCTTCAGTCATGTACGGTACGGTACAGTGCGGTACTGATTCGGTTGGCAAGACCGCTCAGGAGCTGGCTGGGCCAGGCTGGATGCAGGCTGGCGCGGGGCGTGCGGGCTGGCGCTGCGGCGCGGCCAGCCAGGGCGAGGCCGCAGGGGGAGCAGCAGCCTCTTCCCCGCTAAGGGCGGCACTGCTCACTGCTGGTGCGCGTGGTGCCGCCCTTGCTCAGGTGGGCGTTGATCACCGCCTCCATCAGCTCTCTGCGGGTAGAAAGGCGGAGCAGGCTGGGGCCTGGACGTGAGGTAGCTTGCCTCGAAGCACACCAGCTTCCACCGGCGGCAGTTCCACCTCCCGCGCAGCAGGCTGCCACCTCGGCGGGTTCAG